GGAAACCGTTTTAAGACAATTGAAGCCATTATACGCGAATCGCTATGAGCATTGAAGGCTGTCCGGAAATTGACTTTAGCAACTGTTTCGAGGATTGGAAAAAGGGTTGGCACAAGTTTTTTAGGGACAATGGGGATGACATAGATGTTAAAGAATTAATTCAGAATTTTATAATTATGAACACAGTCTTACTTTTTTTTGCTCACACTAGTGTGGTATGTACGTAAATTTGTCGTAAGATCAATAGTCRGACTCACAAACAAAAACAAACTTCATTGACTTATTGAGTGATACGAAGTTCGCACGCAAAAAGGCCAACGTACAAAGAGGTGTAGTGAATTGGCCGGAAAATGTGGGTGTCTTTAAATGCATTTTCATAGAGCAGTAAAATTTCAGCGTTTTTTCCACGCATTTCCACGTAAACATTTAATACTAATACTTAAGTAATTTATAATTTAATTTTTTCTTTTTTTAACAATTATGAACATAAATAGTATAGCAGAATTAAAGGGCGTTGATTAATGTCAGTGATTGTTCATTGGCCTTTGTGTATTTGTCGCACTTTTGGTTTAACAACCTCTGACAAATTTTAAAAATACAACAGCACATGAATGAATCATTCGTTTTTATAACTGGAAATCTGTTTATAATATTTAAGACATGTACATAACATGTTAAATGTGAACATGTGTTGGCTTGTATTTTGGTTTCAGTTGAAGAAGAGTTCAATATAATCAGACGTAAATAATTCGTTTGAAATTTGTGACATTAACAACAAAGATGATCGAAACATATTATTCGCCAGTTATGAAAGTTAATCAATTATTTTATTAAACGACCTTGTTGCATTAATTAAAAAGTATTAAGCACACATGTCAATTCAAATAAAAGTCTGTTATATTGAAAGGTCAAGATAATAAAAATATGAACTAAAAAATTCGATTCAGTTTCATGATTTATACAGCTGTTTAAGCTTAATTGAGTACATTTGAGCAACAAATACTGTAGGACAATTACATTATGATTAGTATTGRGTATATCGTCTAATTGATCTATCAATCACACAATCACTCTTCCAAATTATTATCCTTTTGTCTGCCAGGAGATGGCCGCACTGAGAAAAACATCCACAATTTTTTGATTAATATTGCCATGAATATTATTGATGTACCATAAAACGAAGGGTCGGATCAAATATTCGTCTCATTTACATAAATAGGGATATGAGGTTTACTGGACATAATATACAAAGATGTCGAAGTGATAACATCTATAGTCATAAGTAAAAGCATTGGAATGCATTTGGAAATCAACTGCTTAATTTCGCACTAAACAGACACATGTTTTTTATTGTTATTTCCTAAGCTATCTATTATGAATTTATATTATAATATATTAATATAACTAAATACCAAACAAATATGTATATTATCTCAATTTACAGGGCCCTAAAGACTCACCCAATTACTACATAGCCACGCAAGCGCCGTTGGAAACAACAGTTGCCGACTTCTGGCGCATGATTTGGGAGCAACAATCGCGTGTAATTATACAAGCAACCGATCTCTATGAGAATGGTATCGAGAAGTGTGCCGAATACCTGCCACCATCTGTCACTTTAGACAATCACACAACATACGGCAATTTCCAAATAACGCTTAAACACCGCGAAGTCAAAGATAAATATGCCATTTCAACGCTGATGCTTAGGAATACAGCCGAGAATATGAGTCGTGAACTCACGCATTACTGGTACAAGTGGCCGGAAGCAGGTGTACCCAACGAGGAGGCACCCATTATAGCAATGTTATTAGAGGCGCGTTCATCTCTCAAAGGTTACATGAACGAAGCGAGAGAGAAAAATTCRAATTCAACACTTAATGCAGATGGTAACGGTCATGCTGATATAGTCCATAATGGCAATGGTAACACAGTTATCACGGTAGATGATGATGTAGCGAACAAATTGGGAACGGAACGTGTAAGTGGCGAAGGAAAAGAAAGTGGCGACAATGCTGAAATAAATGGCAATGTTTCGGGGGTGGAGAAAATGAAAGGCACAACGTTAAAGAATCAAGGGTACGTTTGTTGTATGTAATCTATGTCCATGTACATATTTAATAATTGATTGGTTGCGTGTGTTGTGTTAACAATATATATGTATGTTTAGCAGAAAGTTTAAAAGAAACATTTAGCAGCCTCAGTTTATTTTTATATTTATTACTGTTTTGTGTTCGTTTTGTACTACATGTTTGTTTTCTACTTTATTTCTTTCTACTTTTAGTCCCTTAACGATTCACTGCTCTCCAGGTACTGGACGCACCGGCACAATTATCGCCTGTGACATGGCCATACGCAGTCTGGAGACACCGAAGCGTTCGGTTGACATTCCACAAATCGTTTATTATGTGCGACGAGGGCGTGCGAGTGCCGTTCAAACCAAGGAACAATACGAATTTATTTACAAGGTGGCGCATATGTATGCGACAAAGATCACAAATCTATCAAATGATAATTGAGATCGCCAGTAACAAATTTATGTATATCATCGGCTAAATAAATCATTGTCCGATATAAATGCATATACTGTATAGTAAATACATATACTCGTACATTGAAATTTACATCTGATTTTCTAAGTGAATAAGTAGTCGCATTTCGCTGCGATTTTAAATATACATGGTGGGTCGTCTGTCGCTACTCTAGTACCGCCATTAGTCAAAAGATCTAATACTATATGTACTATTAATATATTTGTATAAAAAAATATCTGGTATAAGTATGCCAATCAAAGTATTTAAATACTGCTGTTGTATGTGTTGTACATATATTTAAGTATCATGATATATACCATTTATATCTACATAGCTTTCTCCACCTAGTGAATTTAATTTCTTGCACTTTTACTCCGCTTCTTTATCCATAAATTTGTATAACTTTTGTATGTATATCTTTTTTTAAAGAAAGTTATGTACAATTTATTTTTATTTATGGTATGTAAATGCGTGCATCGGCTTAACTAATAATAACGCTATTGAAAATATTCCTCTATTATTGTGATATAAACATACATTTTAATTATTGTAAATTATGTTTTGTTTAATTAGGTTATAAATAAATATTAAATACGATTATGTGAAAACGCTGTTAAATAACTGCAGAATCAAATAAAAAAAGTAATAAAAGTAATTATATATATTGAGATATTATCTAAAAGAAGTTACAAATAAACTCATATGAATATTTCGGAGAATTGCAATTATTTTTATATTTAACGGTCAAAATACCGAATTCGTAAGTATTATAATTGTAGAAATTTTCATTTGTGTCAAACGTTCGACCAAGTTTTTCCTAATTTTCTTGGCGTGAATACCGATGTTATTGTTGTTCTGTAGCGGCTAAAAACATTCCTGAAGTAAAAATCCCGTTCTATTCCCCTTACGTAGACCCGACTGTCGTGGGAAAAGGTGTGAATAGCGT